AATAAAATATTAGCAATAAGAACTATATTGTGTTTAATTGGAAAATAGGATGTGTGAGGCAGATGCCTAGTCTGCCTATAGGTAGCATCGTGTCTGTGTGACTGTGTCTGCAAGTGAAAGAAAGAACAGGAGAAAGGAGAAATGGGAACAGAGAAAGAAATCAAGAGAGAGTGAGATGGACAGGGCACGCTCCCTGTGTGTCTTTGTGTAAGGAGCATGGTTGCTTGTACTCTGGCTTTATTTATGTTATGCCGTGTGATTCCATTGTGAGGAGCAGATCCACTGAGCTTGTATCCCCACCCTCCCACCAGCCCCCTTCTTTAGATAAAGCTATCTGGATCTGCAGCGCACCTTCTTCAAATGCATGTGAGCAGCTTTACTATTGTGGAGGCTCTCTCAATGTTCCTGGGGGATTCTGACGGTTGCATTGTGTGGGCTACAATGAGGGTGTGGTATGTTGGCACATAGCACCATCTCCAAAACCACTATTAAGATGTTAATGTTCACTGGCATAGCTAGCTTCAAGCACCGCAAGCGCTTTACCTCGCCGAAAGCTTACTCCCCATTGATAGTTTTAAAATCAGCAATCGTGCCTTTTTCAGAAAACAGGGAGTTCCATAAGTGCACATGTTATATCTTGGGACATAAGCAGGGCTGCAACTAATGATTATTTTTTATTATACATTAAGAGTCATTCCTTACAATGGCAGTGAGTACACATTTGGTAAAAAATTGAGTTATAACCTTTATCTGACTTTCTGAAATCGGAAATTTCTACAGAGCCAGCATTAGCATTAACAGCTGTTTACTTACCAGTCTAGAAGAAACATTGTGAGTTAAGCATCAAACTCAGTTCCTCTACACACCAAGAACTGTCTCCAGAGGTGGAAAGTAACGCCAGTGTTAACTCTCTCTATAACGTCTTTTTCTTCTACTGAAGTTAGTTGGTAATCTCACCTTTTCATGGTGTGCTAAAACAAAGTTACAAACATGCATGCCATTATTTGAAATGCCAAAAACATTTCTATTGTTTAGATTTTTAGAAGAATAAGTCCATGATGTTAATAATTGTAATTAACTTTATACGTCAAGGTCATTGTTTGATATAGGTGGCTGACTGATAGCCTGCAATATATGCTGAAGTAGAAGTTTTTTCATTCAGTTTGTAATGTTTTTGTTATTCAGTGCAATGCAAGTTCTGTTACACTGAATGACAGGATCAGTGTATAGATTTAACAGATTTAGCATCTTATTTATATTTCAGATAAATTATTACTGACAAACTTGTTTTAAACTTGAGAAATATTAATATATTAATACATTTATGTATTTTGTTTTGATTGAGTCATTTTTTTTTCTTAGATGCCCTCAAACAAAGATGGTTGCAAGGCACAAATGAAAAATAATTAATACATTTTGGTTTAGTTTTAAATGTTGGTAAAACGATTTTAATCTTCCAGACTAATACTAAAAACATTGCAATAATTGGAACAATGACAATACCAATACACTCTATCCCTTTCTGATAAAACGTCATTCAGAGTAACAGACAATGAAACAAAATGAAACAATACATGTGTTTTGTGTGTGTGGTTGGAAGGATATTGGCAAAGTATAAAGATGTAAAATGACAGTTAATTAGTATTGGGGGGGCTACATTGTGATCCTTAGATAGAGTCTTTTAATGTCATCTAATTATTGTTGCTCTTAATATTTTTGTATATAAACTGTTGTTACACTGAATTTTATTGGGTGAAAAAAAAGGAAAAAAAAAAAGGTATGATGGCCATTATTTTTTGCCCAGAAAAATATTAAAATTGAACAGGATACATTTAATGTAAAGAGAAAAGATTTGTGTATCAGATTTTTATTTTTTTGACCATCTTTGACCCTTCACTATGAGACGAAAGCTTGTAACTGTGAATGATGTGGACCCATCTCCAGTATTTAAGGCCGGTTGCATTTTGTAATTGCCTCTGTATAAAGCAGGCATGCGAACTGGTTAGGGGTGAAAAAGGTGAGAAGGATGCGTGAGCAGAGAAAAACATTGATCCACTAGAGGGGTCTGGGGGTATAGTCCCCCAAAGATTTTTTTAAGAATATACGCTACTAAACGCTCATTTCTAATGACTTTTTGGATTACTCTTGCTCACCATCTAGTAAAATTACAAAATTGACCAAAATAAATTACAAAGTATAAATTTATTAAGCGCAAACATGCCTTTACATATTAATATAATTGACCAATATAAAATAAATATTTAAAAAAAATTGCACAAACATTAATTAATAATCATAAGCTAGCAAAATAGACAGCTGCCTTGTTAATTTATCAGCTCTATCGTATCCAATGTGTTGAATGGAGGTCAGGCTCGTTTCTGTAAAAGCTAGCAGCAAAAAACTCCTCAAAACTTTTATCCAGTGATTTTAATAGGAGCTAGCTCGTGCTTGCATTAGCTTACAGGTTAGGTTATCAAATTGGTAACATTACTGTAATCGAACAGGATAGTTAACATTGTTAGCGAGCTTACTCATGTCTTACCTCAGGTTTTCCAATGGGCAGTTTGTCTTTACCGTTAGTAGTTGTCTCCTCCGCAGCGTAGTAATAGCTGAGCTGCTGTGGTGCTGTGGTACCACGGGTCAATCAGCGTGGGTCACAGTAAGTCGCCGCGCATGCATCGAGGCAGCCTTGACCGGATACCCCCCCCCCCCCCCCCAGTTTTCAGTTGACTCCTGTGTAATGCCGTGGTTGACAAGAGCACTCACTGCCCGATTTGAGTCACTTACTGCCCGTCGCTGCTCTTGCTCTCTGTATGGACAAGGTTTCAGGTTTATTTTGGCCACCATTCCCACAAGTTGACAGGATTGATTCCTTAGGTTATATGATGTATGAAACCCTGGCTGTCTGAATCTGTTTTTATGAGACTGTCATTGGTTCAGGGGTGGAAATACTCAGTCACGGTGTTGGCTGTTTATTTCGCCCATCATATGTCTTGTATTATAAAAAAAAAAAAAAAAGAAAGAAAAAAGAAAAAAAAAACATAATATGGATGTTAACAAGGTTAAAAACTTGATCTCTATCTGTGGTGGTCTTTAAACTGAGATGAACTGAAGATTTTCTGAGTATAGGGGTGCTTTAAAAAAATATGCATATACATATATATATATATATATATATATATGCGGCAATTACTCGTCATTTTACTTCACTCTCTGTAACTAATGGAGTTTATTGCACATTACGATTACATTGAGACACATAGTAATTCTATGAATGGGAATATGTTTCTTTTGTGTGTGTCTGTATATGTGTGTGTGTGTGTGTGTGTGTGTGTGTGTGTGTGTGCATACACGTGCACTTCCCAGTGGTGGTACCCACTGTCTCCGGCATGTTAGTTTTGAACCTTAATAAGCCTTTGCCTCTACTTGCCAGATGTGAAGGCAGGGAGAGAGAGAAAATGGCTTTCTTACACTTCAATTTCACGCATATTTTCTTTGAGGCTAATGAGAGCCTTAAATATGGTGCCAGACTTCAGGCTGCACTGTTGAAGGCTGACATTTTCACACACAGTGGCACCTTGTCACAGCGGATGAAGTCCTTCTACCTGGCTGTTGAGAGGTGTGTGTGTGTTTGGCTTTTGTGTATCTATGTGTGTATGTGTGCAGAAAAGAGGAGAATTTGGTACACTCGTCTGTACCATTCAGAGGTGTTTGTGTTGCATGCCGGTGTGTGTGCTTGCCCATGTATGGATGTTTTTCCTCAGCATGGTATATTAAGTGGCAGAACAGAGCAGAAAAATCATACTTCAGGAACACAGAGCACTTGCTCAGCTCACAGTCTCACTTTGCTATCTTATGTGTGCTCTGTGTATGTGTGTATATGAGCAGATTTTCTCATGTGTTGATGATATATGTGCTAGTGCTTCAACATTTCTTTCAGCCTAACTGTATTCCCACTCCCTTATCTGTGCTGAACATATACTGATTCTCATGTAGATCTCCGGACAGGGCGCAGCTCTCACAGATCTCTTCCCCCCACTATAAGCTTTAACTCTTCACTCCATCTGCTTTATCTATATCGGACCGTCGTGTAGCACATATCATCAAATTGATCGTGATACAATTCCTATTTAATCAACGCATCTGGACAGGGGGGAAAATATGAATAAATAAACACTTGAAAGGACCTGCTCATCCTGTCAGCACTGTTGTCGTCTCCCACAAAGCCTAAACAAATATGTCTGTCAGGTTCCTTACCTCTTTGAGAGCAGTCACAAAATGGACGTCTGAGGTAATTATAGAGCTGGGGATATGGAAGAGAAACTTTATGTGTGTATGTGCGTGTCTTTATACTTCCATATCCCATGTGGAAAAAGGAAGATGGTGAGTATGAAACTCAGCTGCTCTCTGGTTGTTCATCAGATAACATCGTGTACAAGTATGTATGTATGTTTTGATTTATATCCCTGTATTTAAAATTTGTTTGCAAGACATATGTACAAATTAAATAGCAAGGTTTTCAAAATCATGCAAGCATGTTGTAGCAAGGAGTTGTTTTTTTTCAATTTACCCTTTAAATGACAGCTTTGTGCTTTATGGGAGACCACCAGCATCCACTTCCCCCTCATAAAAATAAAATAACTTCTTGCAATTTGATTGTTTACTATTTCTGAGGTCTTATGTTGCAGACTCAGCCTCATATATATGCAGTATATGCCTTAGTTTAAACCACTAGAACAACAGAAGAGGCTATTCAAGTGCCCAACAATGATGGTGTCTGTTTGCATGTCTGAATGTCTGTGTGTATGAGAGTGTGTGTGCGTGCGTGTGTGTTTGCCTCCCACACGGCCCCACTGCTGCCACTCACTGTAAACTAGTCTGCAGCTCGTCACAGACAGACGTTGACACACTCCCAGTCTAATGTGCTCATTAGGGACTGCACAGCACACACATAATTGATAGCCATGACACACACGATGCACACACACACATTATTGCAAAAAACAGTTTCCTTTTTTTTAATGCTGCAGTAGAAAACAAGGTTATATGAAGTCATATAATGGGGGTTCATTGTCAAGAACAACAACAACAGAAAACGAAAGAACGAAATGAAAAAGACTAACGGCACAGAATGCATAACAGTATCTGTGCTGTTTACATGCCAATATTTTACACATAAGTTTTTTTTTTTTTCTTTTTTTTTTTATTTCTCTACACTGGCAGCTGTCAGTTACTTCAGCAAATTAACTGCCAAAAATGTAGCAGAACTTGTCACTCAAGGGGTTAGTGTAACCATGGTTACCTTTCATATCCCAAAAAGATAAAGCTGCAGTGTGGAATCATGGCAGAGCAATTAGACAGAACAAAAAAAATAAAAATAAAATAAAAAATAACAATAATAATAAAAAAAGAAGAAAAAAAACACCAATCGAAAAGGCATTCAACGATATGAAACAACCAAGAGTGCTTATAAATAACAGTTTACATGTGAAATATCTTCATAAAGTAACATCTTTTTTTGTACAACCTTTAATATCTTTTTAGTGTTCATACAGCGGCACATGTAGAGTAGTGTCTGGTAAAAAGAGTCTTTAACCCTTTGAGCACGAGTCGGGAATAAAAAGATTCACCTGTTGTCATCCCTTTGTTACCTCCCTTTTTTTTCGTATCCTTTGATTAAATAACACATTTATAAAACTATTGTGCAAAACAATTTTATTTACGTCTTCATATACTGTGCACCAGCAGATAGTCATAATCCTTTTAAATTAAAAATATAGAAATGATGCATAATTTAGACAGGAATTACTTAATATGTTTTTTATATACATATTTTACACAGACCTGAATTAATATAGGTCCCTGATCGACCAAAGTAAAAGACTTAAGATTTCCTTTTTTTTTCTTTTTTACTACATACTTTTTTTCCCTACAATGTCCTGTGAGCATCTTCCAGACAAGTATTAAGCCCAAGATGAAGACTAGCATTAGACTCAGCACACTCTATGTCTGGGAAACAGTTCATCGCAGACACAATGCACACATTGTCCATCGAATTCTCAACAATAGCTTCAGTAATTCCCAATCTCAAATCTTTCAGTCTATAGTGTTTGGATCTTAGGTGTAGAAGTGCTTTGACGTACTCAGAGGGTTAAATTTTAAATGCTGACTCCAGCACAAAAACGTTATTAAGAAAAAAAGAAAAAACAAAGACAGAGCGAGCAGGAGAGAGTGACAACATGAAGAGAAAAAATCATGGAAAGTGCAACAGATTTAGTTATAAAATGTTTAACTAAACTGTTTCATTTTATGCATGCAGCTTATCACACCCCAGTGATGCCAAAATATAAAGGAACTTAATTTCCATGTACACAAAATACATACCACTTCATTTTAGAATCTCTTTTTTTTTTTAAACCTTCATTTACTGTGTCTTCCCATGACAACAGCCCCCATCTGCACATTATGAAAAAAATCACTAGTCCTATCAAAGGAGATCACATCACACACTCAGATCATAAAATCGAGTGAGTTGGACCAGAGTGAGTCTACCCCACACTGAAACAAAGAAAAAAAAACTGCTACAATGCAAAATTTAAAACCATGTGCCAAAACTCAAAGCAGTAGTTGTATGGCATCTTTGTGCAGTTCCATCACGTTAATAATCCTTTCTTTTCTTTGAAAGAAATGTCTGTGAAAGGATGAAGAGAGACAGAGCAAGAAAGAGTGAGCCATTATGAAAGAGTGCAGCATTGTCCCCAGCCAGTGCTACTGTTTCTCCAGCTCACACACATACATGAGGTGGTCCTCGGGGGACTTCCCATGAGTCTTGCTCAGGTGAAGCTTGACCGCGTGCTTGCTCGCAAAAGTCCGGTTGCAGAGCTTGCACTGGTACATGGCCCCACTGTCGTCATCATCCGGGGAGGGTGACGGGGATTCAGTCGAGGGCAGCGAGGTGGTTAAGGACGAGGACAGGGACATGGGTAAGGAAGAGGATATGGATGTGGGTAAAGAGGAGGGTAAAGGGTGGCTGGATGAGTGAAGGTTAGAGAGCAGTTTTTCAGATAGTCCTTTGGTGTGGCGTTGTTGATGGTGTTGCTGTGATATCTGGCTGAGCAGCTGCTCCCCAGAAAGCTTGGCCAAGTCTCGCAGACGGAAGCCCAAATGGGATTCCAAGTGGCTGACGTAGGTGGATGGTGAGCGGATCTGAGAGGCGCAATCACTGCAGAAGAACACTGGGTGACCCGAATCCAAGTTTTTCAAGAACTTGGTGCCACCGGTTCTCCTCAGCTGGTATTTGACATTAGCCAACCAATGGGATATTGTAGTCATTGAGAGGCCAGTGAAACGGGAGATGTGCATTCTCTCTTGTGGGCTCAGGTCTGACATTATGTACTTGCCATCATTTGTTTGTCTCAGACTGGAAGCAAACTGGGCTTGTAGGATGAGGAGGTGTTGAGGGTTCCAGTTGGACTGGCGGCCTTTACGTTTCTGGGCTGGTGAAACATCTTCTGTTTCCTCCTGTGTGACACCTTCGATGTCGGAGCGTTCGGATTGGCTGGTAGGTGTGGAGGACTTGGAGACTGCCTGACTTTCCGTCAGGTTCCTCAGCATGTCAGAGATGTCTGACAGGGCATTTTCTCTCAAAGGGGAGCTGGACATGAAGGAAGCTACTGCAGCTGAGGCTTTGGTCATAGTGACAGTGGAATGGGGAGGAATCGAGGACGGGGTCGAAGCAGTGGAAGAGAGAGCGGTTGAACCCAGAGAACCACTACTGCTGTTTTTGTCAGCATTTTTGCCTTTGGTGAGATCTATGGGTTGGTCGTTATTTAGATGTTGCTGGTAAAAGTAGCGGTCTAAGTGGTCATTACTGGGCTTTTTGGTCTGTGCTGGTGGGGTGGAAGCAGCCACAGCTGCTTTCTCTGCCAGACTGTTGCTCATCTTGAACAGCATGCTCATGGGGTCAAGGGAGGGCAGGGCAGGCTTAGCGGCCTTCCCCAGGTGGACGTTCATTACTGACTGCAGTGCGCTGAGAGGGTTGACGAATGGTTGTTCTGGAGGTGGATGGTCTGTAATGATAGCTGTACTTCCAGTCATAGAGGCAGGCAGGGGCGATGTCACAGAGGCTGACTCCACTCCATTTTCCACAGACTCTTTTATGGAAATATCTCCATTTGAATCTCCATGATTGGCTCCATTTCCATCGCCTACTACCTTTTCCACTCCATTTGTATTCTCGGGAGTTTTACAACCACCTGCTCTGTTTTCTTTGGGGGACTCTCCTCGGGCTGAGTCCGCTGCCTCGCTGTTGCAGGGTGAGGGCGTGGTACGTCTCAGAGGAGATCCCCTCACACCACCGCTGGGCTCTCTCATTTTCTCCTCTACCTTAGCCACTTTCTCAGTCACTTTCTTGACCAGTTCCTCCATAGCATGGAAGTTGTTTTTGGGCAACGGAGAGGTCTGGCGGCTGGGAGGGGAGATCAGAGGCTGGCTCTTGCCAGTGGGAGAGAGGATCTCCCCTCCAGGGAACATATATTTCAGGGGAGAGCTCTTCCCGGAATTGCCCAGAGAGAGCTTCATTATGTTTGGAAGCTGATAGGCAGCATGAATACTGGGATATCCACCCCAGCTAGGAGCGCCATTCTGTGCTTTATTGATGGCTGAGGTCACTGTGTTCTCCAAGGACTTGAGGATATCAAGACCCCCTTTTGGACTTTCATCCAGATCCTCTTCAGTCAAATAAGTGTATTTTGACGAGATATCAAACTTCTCCTCAGCCTCCTCCTCCACTCCTGCCTTCTTCTCCTTGTTGAGATTGTTACCGTTGTTGATGATGGGCTCTTTAGTGCATTCCTCTTCCTTCTCCTCCTTTTTTATCTCCACAGCCATGGCAGAGGGGGAGATGCTGGTTGGAGGAGGCACTGGGGCGGGTGGAGGGGAGAAGGTTGTGGCAGCCAGGGGAACAGACTGGACCTTTTCTTCAACTGTTGAATTGGACGTGGGGGCTGAGGTGGACGACTCTATAATGGGTTTGCCTTTCTTAATAGCAGAGTTGGTGACTTTAATAAAGTGTCCGGTCACCATCATGTGAGCGGTTAGCTCTTGCAGTGTGTCGTGAGAGCTGCCACACTCCATGCATTTGAGGATCTGTGACTTCCTGGACTCAAACTGCCAGGCATAGCTGGCACCGTTCTGGTGTCCGTAGCGGTTGTTAGGAGTGATGTAAGGGTTGGTGACCCTCTGGAGTATATCATTAGAGTCGCTGAGGGAGGTGGGCTTGGGCGTGGTCCCTCCATTAGAGTCAGGTGAGCTGGGGATGTCTAGGTCAATGGGGGCTCTCTTTCGAGCCGTGGAGATAATCTTAGCTGCCACTGGTGTAACAGGCTCTTTCAGAGGCACTTTCTGGTAGTGTTTTGTCTTGATCATGTGGACACTCAGGTCCTGAAGGGATTCAAATGAGTGCCCACAGTACATGCACTTCAGAACCTTTTGTGCATCCTCCTTCCCCTCCATCTCTAGCAAGGAACGCTTCCTGGGTTTTGACCACCGTTTAGCACCCTCACCATCTGTCTCGTGGTTATCATCGCGGTAGTGGCCTGTCTCATTCATATGCACCGTGAGCTCCACTAGTGTGTCATAGGCTGCACTGCAGTCCTTACAGCGGAATTTGCTGGCACCAGTAAATATGGAGCCATAGAGCTTGGAGCTCTGCCGGTACAGCTGGACGGTACTGAAGAGGTTGGGTTCTGTAGACGCTGTGGATACGGCCACTGTGGGGTGTTGAACCATGCCCAGTCTGTTGTGGTGGTTCTGTGAGGCCTGCTGGAGGGTTTTTGCCATAGCTGTCTGGTGCCAGTCATAGCCTCCACTTCCACAGCTACTGCTACTGCTGCTACTACTGCTGCTGCTGTGACTGCGAGGAGGTTTCTCTGCAGGGGGCTGGCTCAGGTTCAGATTCAGTGTAGACCAATATGAGTTGGTCAGGAAGGAGGTGTAAATGGCCTTCATCTTTTCTAGGCTGTCAGCCACAGACCCTGTTGTGGCTAATATGGCCTCATCTCCACTTACTGTGGCAGTGGCACTGGCAGCGGCCATCATGGCAGAGGTGGAAGACAGAGACAGGGCGTTTGAGGCTTCTTTAGAGAGGAGGACGTCGTCCTCATTTTTAAGCGGGGAGCTCTCAAAATCAGACATTCTGTCACTGGATTCGCTCACGTGAGACTCGCTGTCCAGCTCCTGACCAGAGAAGTCAGCAGCGTTAGGGGAGTCATGGAAGCCAGTAGATCCTGGCCTGTCTTTGAGAAGGAAGTCCTTGTCCTGACATAGGAACTTGGCGGCAGGCTCCTCCCCTTCCTGAGCTGAGTCATCTCCATCCAGGTCCTCATCCAACAGCGCTGCTTCCTTCTCATCTTCAGGGACATATGCTGCTCAGACAGAGAGAGAGAGATTTGTTAGAACCACACTGACAGCATATCTAAAGAAGATTCTCAATTTTGTATTCCCTTTTCATCACCAAGTGGGGAACTGATAGAAATGCAAGATTCTGGCATTCACAGTTTCTCCAGAGGAAACAGAGCAATCATCCAGTGACATTCACAGGCAAAGTATTTCCTATCATAAACACTTGGAGTAATTCTGTTTCTAACTTCCCCCTTTTTACATTGACATTGTTTTCAAATTGGAATCAAGTCGCCACCCCCTCCCATTCTTTCTCTCCACCCCCAGGTCTTTGTTCTGTATTGCAGAAAATCAGAGACAGCAAGACAGAGAGAGAGAGATGGAGGATGGAAAGAGAAAAATGGAGGGAGGGAAAGGGGAAAATGTGTCTTCAAATAGAACTTGCCACCTTATTCTTCTCAAGGGGCAACAGCTTGAAATTAAAACTAAATTTGAAATTAATGAAGCACATTCTGGCGGTGGCATTCGTTTCTGAAGTAATAAATTACTTGTATCAACCTCGGAGACAGCGGTTCCTGTCTGTCAATTAATATGTCTTACGCTTCTTCTGCAGACTCTAATGCATTCCCTAACAGACACACTCGCCATTTAAATTAAGCATGCATTTTCACTCATTACACTGCTCAGCCCTCGCCTCCTCGTAAATAAAAATGAATGTATGTACGTTTGCCTGCGACAAATCTCTCCCCGCAAAACCCATTTGCTTCAATTACCAAAGATTAGAAAAAGTTTAGAGTTATTATTTACAGTTTAGCTTCGGGGACTGGGCTTGAGGCTTTCAATTTATATTCAAATCCCTCTAGTTTAAGATTAATACAATGGAAATCATACAGAGAAAAGATGTATCAAGACAAATCACAGTCTCGCCTCTTTGTACATCTATGAATGTTTTCTTTTGTTAATAAGTCTATCAAAAGGATAAAACAACATCAGATGAGAAATGCTGCATGCTCACACTTTTGAGATTAAGGCTGGATTTCTGAATAACAACTGAAGCTACAGCACACAGACACGGGCATACACAGAGCAGCTACACTGGCAAAGGAGGTGAGTGTAGGTGTGAACATCAGTGGGCTTGTGCCTAGCATTCCTCTTTGTAACAGGTCATCACTCATCTAACATGGTATGTAAACACGGGGTGAGCCGGTCAGTGGGATGGGTGTGGCACAGGAGCACATACTCACAATCTAACACTTTCAAAGACATACAAATGGAAAAAAAAAGAAAAGTAAAACCGTGCACAGTGAAATTCCTTACACACACAACAAAAAGAGGAAAAATATGTGCGAGGTAACTAGGTTGAAACCAAAACTCTAAATAATGCCTACAGTTATGTGAGAGTAAGGGCTTGAAAACACAGGAAAATACGGGCTACCAACACACTTCAGCTTTTGCCAACTCCCATCTATTACTGAGCAGTGCAAGTTCTGTGTGTGTGTGTGTGTGTGTGTGTGTGTGTCTGTGTGTCTTTGTGTATGTGTTAGTACTGCATCAGCAGCAACACAGAGAGGAGTCTCTGTCATTGTCAAGCCACTGGTTGCCATCGGCGATGATACGACACTGCCGTGGGATAAACAGATGCACAGAGACACAGATATCCCAGAGCCCATCACACATCACACACACACACGCACATGCTCACACACACACACACACACACGCGCGCACACACACACACACTAGTTGTACTGTAACTGCTGTAGTATAACAACTCTTTGCCTTCAGGCAATCTCAGGAGCTTCTCTGTTGAACATGCAGTCTGCTCCAGCGTTCAGTACAACAAAAAGCATCCATTTGAAACACTTCACACACGTTATCTTGTATTAAATGCTGTTATGTGCGGTTAAAAATTGCAGGGTCACCTGATCCCTATCCACACTGCATCATTTACTGTTGTTTCTTTTACTTTATTGTTAAGAACAACAATCTTAAAACCTTGACGACCCATTTCAACTGTACGTTTTAACATTTATGGATGTAAAACACACACACATACACTCTACTCTCTCTCTCCCTGTCTCTCTCTCTCTCTCTCCCCCATTCTGTCTCAGAGACACATCCACCCGCTTGCACATACATGCAGCCAAGCAGACCCACATGTACATGCCATCTGTTCTGAATCAGCCAAAACGACAGCTGTTTAAGAGAACAATGCTCTGGCTGAGGAAACAGACGAACACAGCAGCCCGGTGCTCTCATCAAGGCCAAACATCAATGTGAAATCTCCTTTAAAACACAACACACACGCGCGCACGCACACACACACACACACACACACACACACACACACACACACACTCTGT